CTTCCCCATGTTCTTTAAGGCCAGAACTAGTTGAGAAAATAAATTCCCTCCATATTTGACATTTTTTCCACTATTTTGTGCAATCTTGCATGCCCTTCATATCAGACAAGTCAAATGATTTTCACAAGGCTATGGATTACAGACAATTATAAGAGCAACACATAATTGCATTTTACATATTATTCTATACCCCATAGATTCATTGCAAATCAAAGATATGAATCAACCAATAAAGAAAAGATACCAATCCATCCTTCTCTAATCTATGCTTTTGAACTAGGGACAGATCTTGCAGACAACTCAGAAGAAAGGCCAAAAGATAATAACAAACATTCAACTAGAACACTATGACCAATGTTGAATTTGGTCATCCACCAAGGAAAAATCCAAGAGGTTTATTTTATAAAATAAATGATTTTATAAAAATCCAAGAGGTTTATTTTATGGGTTTCTATCATTTCCCACAAAAATGTTCGTTACTGCCACTTGTTTACTGACCACCCAACCCAAGTTTGGCAGAGCTAAAGAACACTTACAAAAGAAAGAACTTGTGACAACAATCTTGACTATTGATGGGAAGACCAAATAGAGTACTAACTATCAAAATACCACAGATGGTATTGTTTCTACACTACCACAGATCAAATTGTATCCAATCCTAGGGATAGACCAACCCTGTTATGCATGTTGCAGGAAATTAAGCCGACTCCAAGTAATCATTGCTTTGCTAATCAGCAGATTCTTCACGTCATACATCGATTATTACAATAAACTAACTAATGGTGAATGTAATCTAGCTGATGAAACATAGAGGTTCCTTATTAACTTGATGTAAAAGGCTGTTAAATGATGCCCATAAAGTTATTACTTATGATTGACCTATTTAGAAAAATGAAATAATCCGTTATCTGAAAAGATAGAAGATATTAAAATTAAAATTTTGTGAAAAAAAACAGACCTTGAATTCTTCGAAAGTCAATTTGGGAATAAATTTGGGATCACCAGCACTATCAACACCATATGCATTATCAGGAAAGAGAGCCTATAGGGCATTAAACATTATTATAGATGATATCAAGAAATAAAAAACCCAGGCAAGTAATGAAAAAAGAAAAATAATACGTAATGTTTCATTCCTCATAGTATAAGTCGCAAAGATGGAAAAAAATATTATCCCGAGCACTCGTAAAAACCTATCTTCTAGATATAGAATAATCTAGAATGGAAGGCCAGTATAAAACACATGAAAGATACAATAGGCTAGTAACTAGCGAACTCCAAAAAGACTGAAAATTCAGTCAGATCCATAATCCACATAACTATTCAGGCACAAATAAAAAATTCAATGTACATCGGATCAAATTTGTGAAGTAAATTCATTGGTAAATAATAATTCTGTGAAATAATGGATATGCATCAGACCCCAGACCCTTGTCACTAGTTTTTGTACATTTGGATACTAACCCACAAGGAACCATCAGTTTTTGTACATAAAAGAATTAAGTAAATTGGAATTTCCCACCAATGCCGTTTCTATTTAACCAGATCCCTGAAAGCAGTCTTAATGTCAATTTCACAAAGGGTTTTAAGGGAGCTTGCCTGCTGAGACACTCTGCCAAGTATATTATTAGGCTCTGAATAAGCCCCTTTCATTTCATTTAAAACTACACCTGAAATTTGAGGTAATAAACTTTTTAAAATGTAAAGATAGAGTAGAATCATCACTTGGGTATCGAGCATGGTCATCAACAGGACAACCTTCAGTATCATGGAAGGGGGAATTCTACAGTGCTGTAACAATTATATGATACCTTTAAAGGATATCTCCTTAGAGGGATCATTAAGCTCATAATGCCATCCCTCCTGTTGAAATATTTGAAAATCCTCAATGCATTTAGGAAAGAAGACATCATCCAAGGCCACATCAACCAAATTGTAGAAATCCTAGAATTTTTTTTTGAATCTAAGCAGAAGTACAGAAAAATTCGAACCACATAGCTATAACAGAATCAGAGAAAAATATTGATAAGCACAATACCAGCAGCCATATTCACCTTCAAATTTGTAGAAGCAACTGGAAAGCAAGTTCTGTCAGGATAGGTGAATGCATTCAAGAAAGTATGCAAACTGCCTTTCAATAACTCAATATAAGGTTGTTTCAAAGGATACTTCCTTGAACCACATAATATATTCCATAACGTGAGCTATACCAGTAGAGTTTTTTCTTGTATAAAGAATAATATACAAAGTTAATGCTGCACCCTACTAATCTGTTTCGTGCATGGAATTTGGATATTTAAATAGATGATTACATTAGCAATGGAAATTAACATATAAATATCTGGTCACAAACCAAATTTCAAAAATTTAGATTTAAAATATTCGTCATTGCTTGCACATCAAGAGAAAGAGAAAACATATATACATGGAAATGAAGTAACTCAAATGTCATTACTACACAACAAAAATGAGCGCAGGCAAATAGACACATCATTGGTCATCTATGAAGAAACGTTCCTTTTTCCTTTGAAATTCCTTTTATGTGAAATTTCATACGAGAAATATGCATTTTTTTAATTTTCAGGATGCTCTCAAAACACCTCAGTAGCATATCTTTGCAGTCTATACAATGACATGGTCTACTAAGCTAGTCATACAATGGTCCCAAGATCCCAGCGGTTTTCTTTTCCTCACAACAAAGGGTCATCTCTTACTCTCTCTGTATTTTCCAATGGAAAGAAAGCACTCTTTCTATTGAAAAATGCTGTCCTCTATTTGACAGCTCCAAACATTCAAAATAGTCCAAAGGCCTGCATTCTTCAAGCACTACCGTTGCAACTTCATTATCACTACAAACTTAGAGGCAGCATTCCTCTTCAAAAAGGGTTAGACTCTGCCTTGGCATTGGATCAGTAATTTCTAGAGTAGCATCTGTAGATCTCATGAGAATATGTACCTAGATGGGAAATGATCCAAGGGCTTCTACTTAACACATATACCAAGTTCTTATCGTATCCTAGAGAAAGCTCCTCATCACATTTTGAAAGATTCTCCTGAAAAACCCTCCACATCTATGCCATCACTTACAGTGCCCAATGCCCAGTGCTTACATTTAAAGTGACAATAAATTGCATAGATGCCTAGTGTTTCTACACCTGAGATGCCACCTATTGCCCAGTGCTTACATTTACAGTGACAGTAAACTAAGTGGAACATAAGAAGGCCTCCTATTTCCCATTTCCACCTCCATGAGTCTATGTCAAGGAAAATGATCTTTCTTTAACCCAATTAGGCAGATTTTCCTATCCCATACCTTCTACTGTCTACAACATTCTACTCAACAAATTAGTAGTAGTGAGCAATAGAAATCATAAAGCCCACAATGAATGAGAACAATTAGGTCGGTAGAGAGACACACTTCCAATCCTCATTACAGGGGAAACACATGTAATCTGTAATAGGAAACAATGGATTTTAATAGCATAAGATTCAATATAATCTCCATAAGTTAATACAACTGAATGCTAATTAGAAACCCATGTATTACAATAACATAGTTTTGTCTCAAATTAATGATCTTGCATTTATCAAGACAATTTATTTGCAATACTCATTTCAATTTTTTCGTGTTTGTGCAGAATTTCATTTCTCTCCATACAATTCGCAGAAGTAACTTACCTGTCATAGTGTTCCCTCAACCTAGACCCAATTTCATTCTAACAAAATAATTACAACACTTAGCCAAATCATTTTTTTCAAAAACCATGCCTGTTGAGAACCATTCAATAACATTCAGATCCAAGATTAAACGTAAAGTAAAGTGCTATCTACTATTAGTAACCACAGGTTCTGTTACGCATGTGTTTTTGCATTATTTCATTATTTTGATATGAGAAGGGAGATCAATCTCCATTAGAAAATTACTTATTCATGGCGAAATTAGATATGAGAATGGAGATCAATCTCATATCCTCATTTCCGCAGAGATAAATATCCGATAGCAATCAAATTGCAAAGTCAGATTATCTTATGAAGACCCAAATGAAGTACAACTATCGACATCAAGTCCTCCATAGACCCAAATAAAGATATAGTTCTTAACTTATGTGATTCCCTCAACTGCTTCATAACTTCTTTTCGCCAATCACCACAACCTGCATCAGTATTCCTCAAAATCTCCATCGCTGGTGGATTCGTTTGCATCATAGAGGGCAAGATCATGGCAACTATTGATGGCATCACAGATTATTGTAAGAGTTCAATGTTGATAACTATCAGGAACTCGTACTGCTTTACCAAACTCTTCATTATTTCTACATCAATGTTGTACTTGTTATACCTAAAATATCACAGATTAATAAGCTAAGTTACAGAGAACAATGAGCATAAAGACACATAAATGTGTATATTCATCTAAAATGATCAAGCATTTCCGATCAATCAAAATATAGATGCATGTACTTTGTAGGTGCTGACGTGACTCAGTCATTGTTTATTAAATCACGCAAATATAAAATTTATAAAACTAGAAATTACAAATTTTCGAATATTTAGAAGTATTTCTAAATAAATATATCAATTATAATTCAATAAAAATTCCAAAAAAAGCGGTAATTTTCTACTCGATCATAAGGATGTAATATAATATTTGGTAATTATTCAGAATTTTTCTCAATTAGTACAATTTTCTTACAAATTTTATACTAGGAAATAAAAAGGAAATATATTTAAAATTCACGAAAAAAAGGAAATAAGGGTGCAGACGTCAGGATGATGTCAACGCCCGGCGAACGCAAATCAGGCAAAAACAGAGTTCCGCCCGGTGATTCTTACGTAGGTGATTACAGACGACTCAATTAATCAAATTAAGATCTATAAATGCCGGAAGAATCGTAATTGAACGAAGTATAGTTTGGTAAATTAAAATCAACAAAGTATCACTAAATGAAGCGTAAATTAAATTGAAAGTAGGAAAACAGAGTTCCGGCGTCGCGACGGCGATGTGTCGGCGATGCATCGGAATCTTGAGCGTTCAGGAGGGTCGTCGTGTAGTGTCCACGTCCTTGAAGGCTCTCTTTAGACAAAGACGACGTGGGCAATCTCTAGATCTTCTCGCAAAGTCTAGAGATCAATGAAGTGAGTCGTCGAATTGTCTCCGGCGGCTGTCACCCGACGGAGCGGAAAAACGGCGACTTTGCGGCTCTCCGACGGCTGTCACCCGACAGAGAGGCGCTGGATGGAGGTGGGACACCTGTCAGGGAGCTTCATCCTCAGGTCTGCGCAGCAAGAGGAGGCTCTTCATCGCATCTGCTACGCTCTCAAGAGGTGGCGACTGGTCTCCCGGTAGATCGTCCTCTTCCCGACGACAGCTTGTTCATTAATCAATCGGAGATGATTTACTTGATGGACTCGTGATCCTTTTATCGTGAATCGTTTAGCAATTTTAGTAGTAATGCTCTGCAAATTGCGTTGACGAGATTTTCGCCGATGATCCAGCGATTCTCGTTGCTTAATCCTTCACCGGTGATCTACAAGAAAGTCACGATAATCAGATAAAAATATATGAATTTTGACTCTAGGAGGATTCGAACCCGCGCTGGTCACCCGCCTCTTCTGAGGAAGGTGTGACGGCGGTTTAGTCCCACATCGGTTGTATGCCGAGTTTTCGGGCGAATATATAGTAATGTTAGCTTTGTGAGTAAAGTCCCTTCTCTCGCGTGTATGACCACTCTTTGCCCCATAGCTAGCTGGCCACCGGTGACGTGGAAGGGGAGTGGCGTACGCATGCCTGTCGGTCCCCAAGCCAAGCTGCTTGAGCCGTTGCTCGCGGCTAACTCCCTGACTGCGCTTCCGACCCGCTTGCGAGCTCGGCTGGCCAGCGGGTCCCCTCATTTTGCAGTATTTTTATTTTGATTTCTTGTTCTTCATTTATCTCAAAAGTAAGACTGTAAAAATCGTATAAAATCACATAATTACCCAAAAATTCACGTTAATCAATTGAAAACCAAAAATCATTCTTTAACACAAATATAAGTCTATTTATCATGAGTTAAGGCTAAAACTATATTATTTTTACTAATTATTAACTCATGATAATGAAGACTTATCAGGTACATTGATCACAGAAAAAAAATTCATATAAAATACAAACTTATCCTAAACTTGCACCATAGTAGACATTCATGCACACGACTAAATATTACATAAAAGAGGGAAAGGGAGGAATAAAAAAAGAAAAACAGCATTATAATCCTTACGGTAGAGTCCGGAAAACAATGCCAAAAACCTTGTTCTCATCGCCATTCTTTAATGACATAATTTCAGCGTCTATTTTCAAGTGTTTGTATAAAACTACAGTTGACTTGCATTCATCTATGACTTGCTCGGATATCTTTTCAAACCCAGGCTTTTGAGCAATACTATTGGTTTCATCTGCACCAACCAAAGAGAAGAAAAATCAGTGTTAATGGAAAGAGTATTATGGTGTCCAAATATAAAACCTCAATTTAAATGGCCAAAATGAAATTCATATGGTGATTTGCTTGATTATTCCCCTGCACTAAATTCGAAAATAATTTTTTAGAGATTATTTGAACTCTTTCAGATCTTATTTATAACCTCTTTCCCTTTGAATCATCTTGATTAATTTTATTAATTTTTTAACCACATTTTTGGGCTCTTAATCTGAGGTCAGACCTCATTAGTGGCTATTAGAAATTTTACTGACAACAATCAAAGAAAATAGAAAAAAATCTTTTTTAGTAGAAGAAGTAGTGCACCATTTTCCCAAATGATAAAGAACACCAGGGGGATCAGCTGGGACTTCAAATACACAATCTAAGGGTTTCACGTGAGCTTTTTCACCTTTCGTCAGGCATCAAACTTTTATGAAGCCAGAATCATGAATGTTGTCTGGTCTGATCACATCTGTTGTAATGGTCTTGATAAACACCAATACCCATACATGGGAATGATTTTATTTTGATCAAATTGGCGCTTCTAGTCATACCGTTGGTCCCCATGTTTAGTCTAGCCTTGATGATTTCAAGCTTTAAACTGCTATTTTTCAAGCTTCACAAAGTAGTTAGTACAAGAACCATCACGAGCAGTATAACAAAAAGCTCGCAGCATGATTCTATGATTACTAGTGTGAGAAATGTGTAACTTCATTCACTGATGCCTCTTGGAAGCAGACCAGTTAAGTCTAAGAAGACGCACTTTCAGACGAGGGTAAAGGGTAGACAAAGAGGAGAATAGAGGAAAGAAGAAGATACCAAGAACTGTCGCTGCAACCGCCGTCTCGCCTCTCGCCATTGACCTATTGATAAGTCTTCATTATCATGAGTTAATAATTAGTAAATAATATAGTTTTAGCCTTAACTCATGGTAAATAGACTTATATTTGTGTTAAAAAATGATTTTTGGTTTTCAATTGATTAACGTGAATTTTTGGGTAATTATGTGATTTTATACGATTTTTACAATCTTACTTTTGAGATAAATGAAGAACAAATAAAAATAAAAATATTGCAAAACTGGGGGGACCCGCCGGGCCCGCAAGCGGGTCGGAAGTGCAGTCAGGGAGTTTGCTGCGAGCAGCAGTTCGAGCGGCTTGGCTTGGGGACCGATAGGGCACGCGTACGTCACACCCCTTCTACGTCACCGGTGGCCAGCCGGCTGTGGGGCAAGGAGTAGTTGTACACGCGAGAAAAGGGACTTTTCTCACAAAGCTAACCTTACTATATATTCGCCCGAAAAATTGGCATACAACTGATGTGGGACTAAACCCCCGTCACACCTTCCTCAGAAGAGGCGGGCGACCGACGCGGGTTTGAATTCTCCTAGAGTCAAAATTCATATATTTTTATCTAATTATCGCGACTTTCCTGCAGATCGCCGGTGAAGGATTAAGCAACGAGAATCGCTGGATCATCGGCGAAAATCTCATCAACGCAATTTGTAGAGCATTGCTACTAAAATTGCTGAACGATTCGCGATAAAAGGATCGTGAATCCATCGAGTAAATCATCTCCGATTGATCGACGAACAAGCCGTCGTCGGGAAGAGGACGATCCACCGAAAGACCAGTCGCCACCTCCTGAGAGCGTACCAGATGCGATGAAGAACCTCCTCTTGCTGCGTGGACCTGAGGATGAAGCTCCCTGACACGCGCCCCACCTCCATCCAGCTCCTCTCTGTTGGGTGACAGCTGCCGGAGAGCCGCAAAGTCGTCGTTTTTCCGCTCCGCCTGGGTGACAGCCGCCGGAGACGATTCGACGACCCACTTCATTGATCTCTAGACTTCGCGAGAAGATCTAGAGATTGCCCATGTCGTCTTTGTCCAAGGAGAGCCTTCGAGGCCGTGGACACTGCACGACGACCCTCCCCCGAACACTCAGGATTCCGGTGCATCGCCGATGCATCGCCATTGCAACGCTGGAACTCTGTTTTCCTACTTTCAATTTAATTTACGCTTCATTTAGTGATACTTTGTTGATTTTAATTTACAAAAATATACTTTGTTCTATTACGATTCTTCTGACATTTACAAATCTTAATTTGATCAATTAAATCACCCATAATCGCTTACGTAAGAATCGCCGAGCAGAACTCTATTTCTATCTGATTCGTGCTCGCCTGGTGCTGACGTCATCCTGACATCCGCGCCCTTATTTCCCTTTTTTGTGAATTTTAAATATATTTCCTTTTTATTTCCTAGTATAAAATTCATAGAAAATCGTATTCATTGAGAAAAATTCTGAATAATTACTAGATATTATATTACATCCCTGTAATCGACCTGGAAAATTACCGCTATTTTTGGAATTTTTATTGAAGTATAATTGATATATTTATTTAGAAATATTTCTAAATATCTGAAAATTCATATTTTCTAGTTTTATAAATTTTATATTTGCGTGATTTAATATACAATGACTGAGTCACATCACCTGCCGCCATCATCAGCTCGATCCATAGGACCAGCAAGGTAGGAACTGTGCTTTAAGAAATCCCTACTGAGCTATCACTTTTGCACGACCTTCATTGTGGAAACCATACGAACGTCTAGTCCCTGCTCTGGTTCTCCAGCTGATATTGCCTGTTCGTCGCCCACTGTTTCACTCCAGCACAACGTCAGCTCGCGCTGACCTCATCATCCTGCATGGGAGCATTGGCTCTCAAAGTCAGCCCATGATTTGTTCACCTCCCCAGCCGTCCCCAGCAAGGGAGCTGACTCGTCGCCCATTACAGCAGTCACCGCCCACTGTTTCGCTCCAGCACATCTCCTCACACTGACCTCATCATCCTGCATGGGAGCATTGGCTCTCAAAGTCGGCCCACTATTTGCTCACCTCCCCGGCCGTCCCCACCAAGGGAGCTGACTCGTCACCCATTACAGTAGTCACCGCCTGCTGTTTCGCTCCAGCACAAAGTCGGCTCGCGCTGACCTCATCTTCCTGCATGGCAGCGTTGACTCTCAAAGTCAGCACACGATTTGTTCACCTCTCCGGCCGTACCCAGCAAGGGAGCTAACTCGTCCCCCATTGCAGTAGCCAACTCCCACTGTTTTCCTTGAGCAGAACATCGGCTCGCGCTGACTCTCAAAGTCGGCGCGGGGAGCTGGCACGTCCCCGATTACCGAAGTACTCAAGTTGATCTACCCGGCCAGTCGCTGCATCATTACGTTGGAAAGTCGACATCACATCACTAAAAAAGATCAAAGTCATGCGTCATGTACGATTGTACAGGGGAGAAGCTTGTTCCCCAATCTTCGTAAACATACTCTTCAGTAGGAATATAACTTGTATGAAGAGGTGCACTATTAAGCAACATCATATAGATATGATCTAACTAATAAGGTTTTGTGAGTTGTAAGTCCAATTATTTAGAGTCAATTTTTGATAAAATGAAAATGAAAATGAATGATGAAGAAAAAAGATATATAAAGTCCTTTTAATATTTACAAATTTATATAAAAATATTGTGCAAACTGACACACATAATTCACTAAAAAGGAAAATCAAACTTTGAATCTATGATAAATTATAATATTATATCTTTATGTCTACAAGAAAAAAAAATTGGACAACTCTTGAAGCTACAATCCTCACAATGACTCCCTTCAATCCACATAAATTATTTGAATCTATAGTGCCATCATGTTTGGCAGGGCAAAGTTGATGCTAAAAGTCGCCACACCTCTTGGCTGTGGCTGACAAGGTAGCTGACTAGTCGTCACCGATTGCAAAAGTACTTAGGTTGATATACCCAGCCAATCATTAAAAGGTCACATCATTAGATAAGAAAGTCGATAAAATGCCATGTCAAGAATGATTCACAACTCTTGAAAATATTTGTTCAGGATCTTCACATAAGTTTACTAAATTCAAAGTAGGGTATTATCTGACAACCCAATGATAGGCTATTTTCAGGAAGTTCAAAGTCATGAAAGAAGAAAACTTAAACTTTGAATCTAGGAGAAATTCTAGAATTCAAGATATTTGAGTCGACAACTAAAGATTTAGATGACCCTTGAATATAAAAGGATCACATGAACCCCTACTTTAACCTAAAGGGGATATTAGAATCTGAAAGTAGAGAAAAAAACTATAAGGAGAGTAAAAATGATATTACAACTAACTTTGCTGATGTTGTTGTTTATAGATCTTTAAGACAAGTCAAAATTAGTTACACTACTCCTAAAATTCAGATCAACTAACAATGGAACCAAAAATGTTGAAAGGAAGTTACACATGTCATCTATGCAATTTAGGCTTGTTAACTAAATTTGGATTTTCAACCTTGTTATAGGTCTTAAATCCTTTGTACTCTAAGCTTTTAGGTTTTTGAATTGTCTTAGTTACAAATTTTGTGTCTTTCTTATTTCTTTAAACGGTTTTCTACATGAATCTGTTGTACTAAAAAGTGGTCTTGTGCATTATTACATGGCTCTACATAGTAGTAGTCATAAGAAACAGAATTTATGTTTTAAATCTGTTCATTTATAGTTGTTAACAGGGACATAACCAGTGAAATGAATCTTACATAAATTTCTTGAGCTTAAAATTTTCACCATAACTTTTATGTTTGCAAAAGTTTGTTCTCCACCTACTAAAAAAAATTACCACCTACATCATCTATACTTTCTTATTAAAAGTGAATAAACTACCCGCATAAAAATAAAATTGTTTTTGGTTACCTTCTACTCCATTTTAATCATTGTTATCATTTAAAAAATGTGAACTTCACTATTTCATAAATTACTTTAATATGATTTCTCATATTGTCATCTACAATAGTTGTCTATTGATGTTTTGGCAGATTGACCAAATCTAAAATAAGTTTGGAAGAAAGATGTAACCACTTAAGAATTAAGGTTAATTTTCTGAGTAAATTACGACACATTTGGATGTGAATTTTGCTTGAGTTAATACAATTTACACCTTTTGTTTGGCCATCTCATTGGGGGTGATGTGCTACTAAATTTCAAGTAACGTATTAAATTTCTTCTAAAGATTACATCTCAATCAATGAAAATAGACTTTGGGACTCCATGCAAATGAATGAACTTCCTAAAAAATCAATTAGTTACTTTCAATGCATCATTTTTTATCTCACAAGACAATGAGTCATCTTAGGAAGAAAACCACAATAGTGACAACAAAGTCTGCATTATGCTATGTAAGTTGCAATCTCAATATGAAATTAAATGTCAACCCAAGGCCTAATTGGAATTGGTACTGTTATCTAGAGTAATGTTTAGACATTGCATTTTATTAACTTAATCTATTTACACCTTCGTACATGATCTTCTACTTCCTTCTCTAATTGAAGTGAAAAATAGTATTCTTCTACTAGTTGTTATGGTATCATACCCTAAATGTCCTTCTAGTGCTCCATATAATTCTTAGACAATTTTTCAATATCATCATATTTCTATTAATGCATAAATAATTTCCACAAAAAAAGCATAGTTTATGTACATGAAATCATCTAGTTAATAAACCCATCATATAGGCTTCCCAAATTTAGCCAAAAATTTCATCACTTTTGTATCGAGCTTTCAAGGATAAAATATTTATTTGGGGGATTGGGGGTGGAGGGGGGGGGGGGGGAAGAGGGGAGTCAATGGTGCTTCAAAGGTCACAAACCATTGTATCATTCTACTAAGTTGATTTACATTGCATTTGAGTCCTCTCTTATAAAAAGATTTTCTAATAAATGTAACCCATTTATAATGAATTAGATGAATATTTATTTGAATATTAGTAATGGTTAGTTGTTGGTGAGCATAAATAATATAAATTAAATTTAATAAGATAGTTTTCCACATCTGTAAAGGTTTCTTTGAAACCATAAAATTTGAACTAATTGGTAGTTTTATTTTTACTATAAAAGTCATATGATGGCTGCATTGGAATAATGACTTGCACTCTAATTATTACATCACATTTCAAATAAAATAGGTTTTGAAATATTTGATGTGTTTATATGGGAAGAGAGTAATTTATCATTTAGTAAAACTCATAGTAGCTTCCTTTACCAAAGAACGTTTTGCCATTTTTGTGGAATTATTGATCAAAGTTTAGTGATAAATTTTAAAATGAAAATGAGACAATCTTTGTAAACTATTCTTCAAATTGGGTTTCTTTTCTAGCAATCATTCTTGGATTGATTGAACCATTTGTTTATTCTTATCATCCCATTCACATTGAGTAATCCTAAGTTAACTAGACTTTAACTATTCCTAAAATAGCACTATAGTATAAAATATTATCACATTTTTCTCTTAGATCCCCAATAGGCTACTAAGTTCACAAATATATATTCTAAGGATATTTAAGGTTTAAGGGTTTTTCGCTAAATCTGAGTTATTGTGGTCAACATATTAGACTAGTGGGTCAACATACTATCGATGTGGGTTTGCATAGTTTCTTCCATGATGGTAGATATGCTTTGTAGTGGTTTAGTCTTTCCTCAGTCCATGTTCACTCTTCAATGGTATGAACCTTTGTTCTATTATTCTTTCTCTCATAATATAGCTGAAATTCACAAGATCACTAGACCTTTCTTACATGACAAATATTTAACATCTATTCCCCATGCTAGACACAAAGGCATCAGCTATCTTTATACCCATGTTACCATCATTCCCTCAAGTGCTTTCACATATAGAACGAGAATTAGACAATCTCTCTCTGCATGCTTTAAAGAAAGATACCTTTTGGACGAACAAGTGTGAAGTGGAGGAGGAAGGTCTAAATTCGCAAAAGATTTCACAGGATGGGACAAGAAGTTTTGTAGTCATTAAACTCATCAAAGAGACATTTTATATACCTCAAAAAGTTGACAATCGGATTTTAAATGAGCAAGATCTACTAGGTTAGAGATATTCTAGTCAAGCTATAGGTTGACTCACTTACAAGTTGCATGGTCAGATAATTCTAGCTTGATAGTTTTACTATTAGTTTGTGGTCGTCTAAGGTGTCATTAGGCTTCTAATATGTCAGAATATGTTGTCCTAGTGAAATACATGTGAATTGTCCTATCATTGATTCTTCTACTAATGTTGGATTTGACTATCTCAATTAGAGATACATTGTCATTGTTGGATTTTTCCTAAGTGAGATTGCAACTAAATGGTTTGACTAAACCATGGGTCATATTTACTGATCAATGGTGCCACACATTATATTGCTATGGACTATTCCATACTAGAATTTTCTTAAAATAATTGTCACATGTCCCTCGAGAAATCTGATTTTGTCACACATTGCTTGAGAAATTCAAATATATCACTTATCCCTTTATTCCACCTATGCCACACATCAAATGTGCTGATTGGCAGCACCACATGTCATCTTAATGTTGATATCTCTAATGATGCTTTGTGACATAAGATTTCTTCAATATAGATCTGAAAAATATGTTTCTATAACAACAAACTAGATCAAAGGATTTAGATTTCAATTTGGAACTCAGTATTATTTATACAATTGTTCATTTTGAACATAATTTCAATATATTTGTCAACACCAAAGTCATATCTCAACACTTTCAAGTGTATGTTATCAAAGTGAACACCAATAAAGCTCCCAATATATTGTTTCAATACCTCATTATTCATTTATAAATCTTGTAAATAGGTTATCAAATGTTGGTTTGAAATAGCTTATCAATGTTTGGCTCACTTGAGGTACTCCACTCTTAAAGGATCAAACTTTAAGTTGAAGCAATTCTCACTACTACATTAGTTGAACATAAATGATTCAAGAAGCCTTATGGAAAATTTTACAACTATCGTCAACCCAAGTGTTTCTCCAAAAGGCAGATTCATTAGGCAACTCAAATTAGAACTCAACTAATTTCATGTGGACTGATGACTCACTAGGTTATACCAAGTATTAAATGTAATCAAACACAAGGAAGCACAACATTGAATCATGTTTTGTTGGCATTTAACAGGTAGCTTGTTATCAAAAGTAGGGGGATGAATTGATTATGTCATATTTTTCATCAAATCTTGAATTTATAGACAATATTATTCTGCATGATAATTGTCACTAAAGATCACATCAAATTTTTATAGTAGTTTGGCCCTGTTCACTTGCACCCACTCTCCATGACACTGCCTTTTGGTTCCACTAATTCATTAATGTTTTACACACTCAATTTAAACTTTAGCCACCATCCCACTGGAGTTAGCAACTCTAGGCAACTAAGGATCCCACCTTATAAACATGTTCTACATTCACGAATAGAGGAGGCAAAATGACAGAAGCTTTTCTACATCTCTCTTAAAGATTTCACAGTTCTAGGTGGAAATAACAGATAAGCTTTTTAGGTTCTAAGGAAACCTAAATACTTAAAAAATTAAATAGGAAAAGTGGAGCGAAGTTATCCTTGATCACCATCATTTCGGCATGAATGGTCTATTTCTTTCTTCTAGCTTTGTTCTTCTCTTCACGTTCTTCTTCTTCTTCTTCCTCTCTTTCTTTTCTGCTCCTTCCCTTGTGATCAGAGGTGATTGGCGTTGATGATCTTTTCTGCTTCTTCTCATCGTTCTTCCTTTTGTTGTTCTTCTTGCTGTCGTTTTTCTTTCCATTATTCTTCTTCCCGTCGTTATCCTTTCCATCATTCTACTTTCCATCATTCTTCTTTTCATCGTTCTTCTTCTCCTCGTTTTTCTTTCGATCATTCTTCTTCTCGTCAGTCCTCTTGTTCCGTTCTACCTCTCCTCTTGTTCATCTTTGTAGGACCAAGTAGGCCGGAAAAGATGCTGTGCGTCGACGTGATAGAGCTCATCATCATCATCTTCTTCTTCTTCTTCTTCTTCTTCTCAGGTTTGATCAAACGAGAGCGATGCGAATGGATGATTCGCCTAGCTCCTCTTCTCATCCTCGTTCTTCTTGTTCATCTTCTTCCATCCTTGAGATCAGGCAGCTGTGTGGCTCATGGTTCTCTTCTTTTTCTTGGGATTATCAAGATCAACGGCATAGATGAAGTGGGTCATCCATCTTCCCCACCTATTTCTCGTTCTCGTTCTTGTTTTCATTCTCACAATCACCCGTCAAAGAGAAAAGATATATTAGCACTTGGCGTTCATGCGAGTTTGTATGATTTCACAGGCTATTAGGCCAAGAAATGGGATCTACAGCAAAGCAGACAGACAACAGCCAATTTAAGATTCATACCTTATTTTAAATAGATCCATTTCGTTTAGATTTATGGTGCAATTTAAAGAGTTTTAATGTTTTTAGATTTCAGATCCGATTTGAAAAAGATATGAGAGAAAAAGTTCAATCTTTTGGACCCTCAAAGATTGTGCCTCCACAATCAATGCTCTAGGAGAAGACAATTGAAGATTTTCATGCATAGGGAGAATGCAAAGATGATTGTACTTATAAAATATTTGAATAGAGGGTCCAAAGTTGATGGATGATACTTCTCAATGAAACGATAATTGGATATCTGGGCTCTTGCATCGATGAAGAACTTAGTAAAAAGGAAATACATAGTTTGAATTGCAATTCAAAGGTTGCCTAATCTTTAATTTTATGGTCAAAGATATATTATTATATTATGTCTCATAGACTCAAAGTTTCGTTTTTCTTTTTGATGACATGATGTATGCCATTTATGACAAATATTTAAATTAATATTTAAACATAAAAAAACTTTATATATTTATTTCTTCAAATTAATTTTAATAATAGAAAAAAGACTCTAAATTATTAGGTTTTCAACATTCAGAACTTTATTGTAGCGTCATTTTTATCTAATATTGCTTAATAGCATACTTATTCAAACAAGTTATACTTGAAATGAGGAGTTTTAAAAAATATTTAGGGGAAAAAGGTTCTCCCTGTTCTCATCTTCCATGCTTTATGACTTTGACTTTCTTGAAAATAGCATATCGTTGGCTTATCAATTAATACCCCACTTTGGATTAATTAGAGTTAATGCCATTATACTGTGAAAATACCATGAAGAGTAGTAAATTGTTACTAACATCACCTTTTATTGACTTTCCTACCTAATGGCATCACCTTTTATTGACTTTCCTACCTACTGGCATCACCTTTTAATGACTTAGTTGTGTGGATTGGACCAAGTACTACATCAATTGGCAATGAATCAACACCCTTTGGGGGGCACAGCTGAATAAATGAATACAATCAAGCATTGACTTTGAGTGTTAACTTGGCTTTAGCAAATTATGCAGCTTGGTAGATTCAAAGGGGTCGTTGTGATCCTTGTAGACTGAGAGGCATGATTGTGATAATTATAGATTCAAATATTCTCTATATCTTTAGTTGAAGATTGAAAGATGATGTATTATATTATGCCTCATCTATTCAATGTTTTCCTTTTCTTCTTTCATGACTTATCTTCTCTCATTTGACACAATATTTATATTTATTTTTAAATATTTAAAGGACTTTGTGCATGTTGTCCTCCACCTTTTTTTTATATTTAGAAAAAATCATTTCTAAAATATTGGGCTGGCAATAATTTTTATCTAATGTTACTTAGTATGGCACCGCTTCATAAAAGTCAAACTCGCATTGAGACGTGTTCTTAAAGGTTTTGAGAATTTTTTTTCCCCCCAATCTCATCTTAAATGACATATGACGTTGACCTTCTTGAAAAAAGGATATTATTCAGCAGTTAAATAATTATTAATGACGTGGCAGATTATCAACTTTCCTACTTAAACCACGTGACCGTTGAATTATTCACTGGACGCAAGCTGAGGTTACGCTGAGTTTGATAGTTAGCGCTGCCATGTAGGACGATCAGTGAATTCCGGCGAGCATGGGGAGGAAAGTCAATATCAGACAAAGAACCAACGCGGGAGCGTTCCCTCAGAGCACAGCTCCTGCCTTGTCGGTCGCATAGATCAAGCGGACGATGGCGGCGGGTCGATGAGGAGAGGTGGGACGGCGGCTGCGGCAGCGGTTCCTGGTATTTTCTTCTTTCCTTTCTTCTCTACTTCTCGGAGAAAGCCACGCTGTGGGTCACCGGTGTTGGAGGTGGGGATGGAGATGGAGATGGAAAGGTGTACATGAAGCTGTGGAGAAAAGTTCTCTCTTTGACTTTATCGACAATACCTTCTTGGATTTCGTAGCCTTTTCCCAGTATCCTTCACAAGTATTTTGAAGGAGTAGTAACTTGTCTTGGTCAATGCAACGTGCTGTTTTACCAATGACTACTGCAATCGGCGACATAGTCAGCCACCTCACGACACGTGGCCGGAGATATGAACAAATCGTTTGCTGACTTTGAGGGTCGGCCCAGCTCTGCCGGACAGTGTGGTCAGTGCTGTCTGGCGGTGCGCTGGAGCCAAACAGTAGGAGGCGATCATTTGGGGAGTCCATTCCGGCGAGCAAGGGGAGGAAGCCAACATTTGCCGGTGAATCAGAGCAGGTGCTAGAAGCTAATATAGTTTTGACAGCGATGGTCACTGCAAGTAGTGATTATCTCCATATAAGCGACTCCGCATAGCACAGCTCCTGCCCTGCCGGTCTCATGGATCGAGTGGACGATGGCAGCAGGTCAACAGCAAGCGGTGGGACGGCAGTTCTTGGTATTTTCTTCTCTCCATTCTTCTCCTCTTCATCTACCTTTTATCCTCACAGTCTGAAGTGCGTCATCTTAGCCTCAACTAGCCTGCTCCAAGAGGCACCATTGGATGAAGTTACACATTTCTCACACTAGCACTGATAGACTGTAAGAACCATGCTACTAGGTTCTTATATTTTGGGTCCCTGATTGTTATGCTTGAGGTTACATCAATAGAGTTCTTTACTACCAAGCTTGTAATCATCAAGGCCAGAGGCTTCAATTTGATCAGATGAAGTCATTCCCACGTATGGGTATTGGTGTTTATCTAGACCATTGCAACGTACATGATCAGAGCAGACAACATTCATGATTTTGGCTCCATGATAATGTGATGCCAGATGAAAGTTGAAAAAATTCTTGTGAAACCCTTAGATTTTTGTATTATAAGTTCCACCTGATCCCCTGGTTGATGTGCTATATAAGGGTGTTTGGCATGGTAGTGTATTTGCACAGTTTTATATTGTCTAAAATCAACAGCGAGTGGATGGTCTGAGGTGAACATGTCCGTGGTGTTCTTTATGGTTTGAGAAAATGGTGCACTACTTCTTTTATTTGAAAGATTTTTTTTTCTTTTATTTGTGAAAATTGAGGTTTTATTTTTGGATACCATAGTGTTCCTTTCATTAACACCTACCTTTATTTTCTTTTCCTTAGCAGGTGCAGCTGAAAGCAATAGTATTGCTCAGAAGTTTGGGTTTAAAAAGATATCAGAGGAAGTCATAGATGAATGCAAGTCAACTGCAGTTCTATATGAACACTTGAAAACAGGCACTGAAATTATGTCATTAACAAATGACGATGAAAACAAGGTTTTTGGCATTGTTTTCCGGACTCCGCCGTAAGGATTAGATTGCTGATTTTCTTTTTTTCTTCTCCCCTTCCCCTCTTTTATGTAATATTTTGTCATGTACATTAATGTCTGCTATGGTCTAAGTTTAGGTTCTACCTCATTTTTTTTTCTGTGATCAATGTGCCTACAAAGTACATGGATTCCTATTTTGATTGAGTGGAAGTGCATCATCATTTCAGATGAATATACATTATCTGTGTCCTTATGTTCTTTGTTCTCTTACGGGATTTAGTAGATGTTCCTGATAGAGTTATCAAAATTAATCTCTAAAGTGCCCTGCACTTGAAAATAAACTGTGAGACAATCAGCAGTAGTCATGATCTTGCCTTCTTTGATGTATCTTTGGTTAGGTCTGTGGAGGACATGATGTTGATGTTGATAGTTACACCTTGTTTGATATCGGAGATTGATGTTCATTCTCATATTTAATTTGACATCTAGGACCATGAAAAAGTTAGATTAGTGAAGATTCATCAAACAATGAAAACATTAAAAAATACATACATGACAGAACCATTGATTACTGATACTACATTGTTCTTTACTTTTGCCTAACCTTGAATCTGAGGGTTATTGAATGGTTATTAACATGGAGTGTTTTTTAATATTAGCTCTAGCTAACAAGAATGCTCTAATTATTTTTGTTAGAATCAAAAGTGAGTATAAGTGGAGGGAACACTATGAAAGGTAAGTTGTTTCTGCCAACTATACAGAGAGAAATAACATTCAGCACAAAGACTAAAAAATTGAAAAGAGTACTGTAAATAAATTATCTTAATAAATATGAAATCATTAACTTGAGATAGAACTATTCTATTGTAATACTTGGGTTTCTAGTTAGCACTCATCTCTATCAATTTATGGATATGAATTTTATTACATTAAAATCTATTTTTTTCTATTACAGATTACTTGTGTTTCCCCTAAAATGGAGAGGCTAATTGAGAATGAGGGTTGGAAGTCTACCTCTCTACCAATCCAGTTGTTCTCATTCAATGTGGAAGAAAGATTATTTTTAGTGACATACATTTGTGGAGGTCGAAATGGGAAAGAGGAGGCCTCCTTATGCTCCATCACTTACAGTCACTGTAAAGGTAAGCACTGGGCAATAGGTGGTGATGGGTGAGTTTTTTCTAGGGATAGGACTAGAACTTGTTATCTAGGCTTAATAGAAGCCTTTGGATCATTAGTCATCTAAGTACATGTTCTCATGAGCTCTAGAGAAGCCACTCCAAAAAGTACTGATCCAAAAAGTCTAGCCCTTTTTGAAGAGAATGCCGCCTGAAGAATGCAGGCCTTTGGACTATTGTGAATGTTTGGAGCTGTCAGATACTTAGACAGCCTTGTTCAGTAGAAAGAGTTCTCTATTTCCATTGAAAAATATAGAGAGAGTTGGAGATGGCCCTTCGTTGAGTGGAAAGGAAAACCTCTAGGATCTTGGGACTGTTGGATGACTAGCTTAGCAGAGCATTTCGTGTTATAGACTACATAGATGTTGTACTAGGCTGTTTTGTGAGCATCCTGAAAATTAAAAAAATTACATCTTTCTCGCAAGAAATTTCACAGAAAAGGTATTTTCAAGGAAAAAGAGCATTTCTTCATTGATGACCAATGATGAGGCTATTTGTCTGCACTTATTTTTGATGTGTAGTATTGACATTTCGATTACTACATTACTAGGTATATATGTTTTCTCATTCTCTTGATGTGCAATGAACTTCTAATATCTAAAATTTAGACTTGTGAACTTTTGTTTGTGACCAGATATGTGACATGTTAACTTTTCCACTGCTACTGTAATCGTGTGTTGAAATATCTTGATTCCCTACACGAATCAGATTAGTAGGATGCAGCATTAACTTTGTATATCATGCTTAATCTAGGAAGGACTCTACTGGGATACCTCACATTCTAGAACATAGGATATTGTGTGGTTCAAAGAAGTACCCTTTGAAAGAGCCTTTTGTTGAGTTATTGAAAAGCAACTTGCATACTTTTCTAAATGCATTCACCTATCCTAACAGAACTTGCTTTCCAGCTGCTTCTACAAATTTGAAGGTGAATATGGATGCTGGTATTGTGCTTATCAATATTTTTCTCTGATTCTGTTATAACTATGTGGTTCGACTTTTTCTGTACTTTCACTTAGATTCAAAGCTTTTCTCCAAGATTTCTACAATTTGGTTGATGTGTACCTAGATGCTGTCTTCTTTCCAAAATGTGTGGAGGACTTTCAAATATTTCAACAGGAGGGATGGCATTATGAGCTTAATGATCCCTCTGAGGAGATATCCTTTAAAAGTAGTATATAATTGTTACTGCACAGTATAGTCCCCCCTTCTATCATATTGAAAGTTGTCCTGTGGATGAACATGCTCAATACCCGAGTGATGATTCTACTCTATATTTACATTTTATAAAGTTTATTACTTCAAATTTCAGGTGTGGTTTTAAATGAAATGAAAGGGGTTTATTCAGAGCCTGATAATATACTTGGTAGAGTGTGTCAGCAGGCAAGCTCCCTTGAAACCCTTTGTGAAATCGACATTAAGACTGCTTTCATAGATTTGGTTGAATAGAAACGTCACTGGTGGGAAATTCCTTCACTGTGTTGGTTCCAAACTGCTTAATTTTTTATGTTCAAAAACTGATGGTTTCTTGTGCTTAATATCCAGATTTACAAAAATTGGTGACAAGGGTCTGGGGTATGATGCAGATCCCATTATTTCACAGAACTATTATTTACTAATCAATTTATTTTACAAATTTGATCTTGTGTGTATCGATTTTCTTGATCTGGATCTCACTAGTTTCTCTGGTGACTTTGGATCTGATCAAAATTTTAGTCTTTCTGGAGGATGCTAACAACTTCCCTATTGTATCTTTCATGTGGTTTACACTGGCCTTCCATTCTAGATTATTCTAAATCTAGAATAATATTTTTTTTCTATCTTTGCCACTTGTAGTGCGAGGAAGGAAACGTTAGTTATTATCTTTCTCCTTTTTTTTTTTACTTGCCTTGGATTCTTATTTCTTGATGTCACCTATAATAATCTTGAAAATTTCAATCCACGATTGTGTGCTTTTTGCTAAGTTCCTATCTAAATTTTTCTTCCATATGTTTAATGTCTTGTAGGCTCTCTTTCCTAATAACATATATAGTGTTGACAGTGGCGGTGACCCCAAAGTTATTCCCAAGTTGACTTTTGAAGAATTCAAGGTCTGTTTTTTTGCAAAATTTTCAGTTTGGCATCTTCTGTTTTTTCAAATAACTGAATATTTCATTTTTCTAGATAGGTCAACCATAAGTCTTAACTTTATGGGCATCATTTAATGGGCTTGTACATAAACTTAATAAGGTAACTCTATGTTTCATCGCCTGGATTACATTGGCGATTAGTTAATTTATTGAAATAATCTATGTATGACGTCAAGAATCTACTGATTAGCAAAGTAAGGTTGTTAAAGGCTTTGTGCAAAATGATTACTTGGCGTCAGCTTAATTTCTTGCAACATGCATAGCTGGGGTGGTCTATCCCTAGGACTGGATACAGTTTGATCTATGGTAGTGTAGGAACAATATCATCTGTGGTAGTTTGATAGTTGGTACTTTATTTAGTCCTCCCATCAATACTTGCTGAAATACAATGTAAATACTGCGTTAGTGGTAAGGGTGAGATCTATCATGTGCTTCACTTAAAGAAGTACGTGAACATCACCTATATTGGGGAGTAATATTATAAACTCCATGGTAAACCATAGAATTCTAAGCATCGAGTAAATCATGTTCACATGGTGATTAATTCTTCATCCAATTAGAAGTCTGAACAAATAGACCCAAGAAATATTGATTCAACTCCATCAAGCGAAATAGAGAAACTTCCCCCTTGAATTAGAGAAATTGAAGGCAATGGTAACACAACATTTGCAGCCATCAACGAGTCATCAAATTGGTGAGTTCCATTCTTCTCTTGATATTCGAGCTCCATCCCAAGATATTACTAGATGTTGGGTAATAGATTCAGGAGCAACAAATCATATGAAAAATTCGTCATATCATTTTATTACCTACATGTCATGTTTCAATGACCAAAAAGTGTCTACTACTGATGCTACAATTCTCACGGTCGCTGGTATTCGAGACCAAACTCTTGCACCTTTAGGAATCCTCACTAAAGTTCTCCATGTTCCTAAGCTTTTCACCACCTTATTTTTGTAAAAAGTCTTGTTAAAAACACACCTTACCGTGCCTTCTTTGATGAAAATCTTTGTGTTATCCTTGATAAGGTCTAGAAACGGAAGGTTAGAGTTGCCAAAAAATGAGAACTTTACATCTTGGAGGGATTTAGCCAAACCCACCTTGTGGAAGTGGATCCAACTCTAGAACATCACCAGGATTTGAGTCACATTCAGCTCCTTCATCAAAGATAAGGCCATCTTTCCCTTACTACTATGAAGAGTTTTCGTCCTATTTTTTCCAAAACGTGTCTGTAAAAATACCTAAGTGTGACGTATGTAAATTGTTCAAACATACTCATGTTTTATTTCCAATTAGAAATGAAAGGAGTGAGATCCCTTTCTCTTGCTTCTATAGTGATGTTTGGGGACCATGTCCCATTGTAGATCTACTAGGTAATAAATAGTTTGTTACCTTTGTAGATGATTGCACCTGTTGCATGTGAGTCTTTCTTCTTAAGCAGAAATCACAAGTTTCAATTGTATTGAAACGTTTTTGTGCAGTTATTAAAACCCAATTTGATAATCCTATAATGAAATTCAGGTTAAATAATGCTAAGGAATACTTTAGCAATGATCTGAATTCTTTTCTTCAAGCTAAGGGTATCATACTTGAGTCTTCATGTGTCTACACTCCTCAGCAATACGGATTGGCAGAAAGAAAAAATTGACACCTCTTGGAGATTACATGTTCACTCTTGTTTCAAGTGAGTGCACCCAAAATTTTTTGGGGTGAACCTCTCTTAACAGAAACTCATCTAATAAATCATCTTCCCACTAGAACCTTAGATTTCTTAAGTCCTATGGACAAGTTAGCTTCTTATTTCCCTCTTAATCATCTCCATATCTCATTAGAGCCTTGCATATTCAGATGTGTTTCATTCATTCATAATCATAATCCACCTAAAGATAAATTAGATCCAAGATCCTTCAAATATATGTTTTTTAAATATTTAACAACTTAAAAAGGGTATCGCTGTTGTCATCCACCAACTCAAAAATTCCTTACAACGATGGATGTTACCTTTCATGAATCTATATTTTATTTCTAGAAAACCTCTCAAGACACATATTTGCCATTTCTGCCTTTACCTGATTTTTCTCCAGAAAGAGTTTCTTCTCCTCTAGGTCAAATTATTCTACCAATTCATGTGTCTGACCAAAGTCCATCTCTTCCTGATCCACTTCCTAAAAAAATCAGATTTGGTCAGTTTGTTCCAGGACCTCAAATTCTGGATCAGCCCAAGACTCCAAACTAGCCTTAACCAATGACTAAGAAACCACATTTATCATTGCAGGAAATTCTATGTCCCCAATCCAATGACCTTCCTATTGCCCTCAGAAAATCTTTACAAGCTTGTACAAAATACCTATTTTAACCTTCAGCGAACTTTATTTCTTATCATAAAGTTTCTTCATTTTATAAAACCTTCCTTGCTACCTTAGATAATATTACCATTTCAGTTAATATTTTAGAAGCTCTCTCTAAGAAAGAGTAAAAATAAGTCATGGATGATTAGATGCATGTTCTTGAAAGAAACAATACATGGGAGCTTGTACCTCTCCTTAAGGATAAATGGGCAGTTGATTGTAAATGAATTTATTCTATAAAATACAATGCTAATAGATCAGTTGAAAGGTACAAGGCCATACTCGTACCTAAAGGATATACACAAGTTTATAGAATTGAATACCATGAAATTTTTTCTCTTGTGACAAAAATGAACATAGTCAAAATTATTTTACCATTGACTGCTATTTTTAGTTGGAATATCCAGCAATATAATGTGAAAAATGTCTTTCTTCATGGAGACCTTATTAATGGAGTATATATGTAATATCCACCTAGCTATGGAGGAAATTTATCTTCTAACATTATTTGCAGACTAAGAAAGTTTTTTTATGGACTGAAACAATCTCCATGCACATGGTTTGGGAGATTTTCTACTATCATACAAAAATTTGATTTTCTTCACACAAATTATTTTTCAAACATACTTCATCAGGGGGAGTTTCTATACTCCTAGTTTATGTTGACGACATTATAATTACTAAAAGTAATGACATTGAACAAGGAAATTTGAGCAAATATCTTGTCAACAAATTTGATATCAAAACTTTGGATTATTTTAAATATTTTCTAGGCATTGAGGTGGCTCATTCTTCTAAGGGCATATTCATCTCTCAACGAAAGTATGTGGCAGATCTTCTAAAAGATACTGAAAAATCTGCCTGCAAACCAACTAGCACCCCCCTTAATCCTAACCACAAACTTAGTGTTCATGAAGGGGAGTATATTGATTGCGAAATGTATCAACAACTTATTGGACGATTGCTATATCTCACACACACTAGGCATGAGATCTCTTATGTACTTGGTCTCTTAAGTTAGTTCATGCATCAGCCAACTAAATATCATCTTCATGTTGTATATCAGGTGTTACACTACTTAAAGGGAACCCCTAGAAAAGGCATTCTCTTCAAATGTGGTGGTAACCTAACAATTGAGATGTATATTGATGCAAACTATGTTAGTTCTCCTTTAAATTGTCGGTCACCTTCAGGTCTTATAATGTTTCTGAGAAGAAATTTGATTACTTGACACAGTAAAAAAATAGAATGTTGTTGCTCGCTCTAGTGTAGAATCAGCATTCAGGGCATTTGAACATAGAATATGTGAACTACTTTGGGTGAAGATTTTACTCATTAACCTAAAAGATTCTTATTTCTTGTCCTATGAAGTTCTATTGTGACAATAAATCTGCAATTAATCTTGTGCATAATCCCATTCAACATGATCACACAAAGCAAGTGGAAATAGACCATCACTTTACCAAAGAAAACTTGGAGTCTAAATAAATATGTATTCCCTACATCTCTGCTCAACATCAACTACTTGATTTGCTAACAAAAGGTGTCTCTAAGACTCAACTAGAACAAGTGCTTTTCAATCCGGGAATAGATGATATCCACTCACCAGCTTAAGGGGAGTGTTGAAATACAGTGTAAATACTGCGTTAGCAGTTGGGTGAGGTGTATCACATGCTTCACTTAAAGAAGCACATGAACATCACTT